TGTTAAATATATATATATATATATATATATATATATAATTTAAACCCGATTTAGAGTAAGCCTGAGGTATAGAGGTATCCCTTATAACAAGATTCATATTCCTATTGCTTCTAGTTCAATTTAGACTCAGCCCCTATGGTTGGCACACTTGTATGTTTTATTCCTAGTGAGCTTGGACACATATTCGTCTCTGGGTATCTAGTCGCCCGTTTGGTCATACGTTGGAACATAATGTTTGAACAGAAACTCAACTTTTTTTGCAAGAGAAAACACCGTAGAAAAATCAGTCAGTGAAACAAACTGGCTTCTAGTCTTTTTTGGTTCCTGCATGTAATGGCTCTAGTCTTTCAACTTGGGAAAACGCACTTTGTCCCATTTCATTTGTTTAAGTTCTTTGATTTGCTGGCGGAACCTCAATGATACGTGTGTGTGTGTGTATATATATATAATTGTCACTTGCATATTAGGGAAGCGTGTGCATTTCTTATTCTGTCTATTTGTACTAGTTTCGTAGATGTATCTAACATTGTGAGGTGATGAGTAAGTTAATCTTGAACGTTTCATGTTCAGTTCCTCTGCCTATCACTTTCTTCTTTCAACTAAATTTTGTTCCACAAATCTCTCTCTCTCTCTCTCTCTCTCTCTCTCTCTCTTCAGAGCCCAGATGGAAGAACAGTGTCATCGGCTGCAGGAGACGAGTTGTTGCTGTTTTGGAATGTGTTTTGGCACTCCACAAGTTGCCAAACCAGCAGAAAAAAGACGTCCAGAGCCATTTGCTTTGAATAGCATCCGCTAAAGCTGCGAGGTAAAATCAGAAGCTCAATCGACTTTTTTTTACTAACCTTACTTCAGCTGTTACAATATATATATATATATATATATATATATATTTGGTTAAACATGAAATAGCCTCCAATTCCAATGGAAGTGATTCCCCTTTCCATTTACTAATGGATTGGAATGTATTTTTGTAAAATCAGGTTTAATACGGGATCTGTATTGCTCTGTTTTGGCACTTCCAAGATTAATCCTGTGGTTTTATATCAATGACCCTTTTTCTTTCTTTAATTTTTCTCTATTTTTGGGCTGTGGACTTGGTCTATTTGTTAAGCTCTTGCTCATTTTCTAATGTTAAAATCATCGAAATTTCTCTCATTCTCAGTTACACATTTTGACTGACCCTGTGCCGTCAAATAAGGTTTTGAGGTGATAGCAATTGAAGAGTTGGATTCTCGGGATTCTTTAGCTTTCAATGTGTAAAATGACCTGTTTCGTCATAAGCATACTCCGGCGTGTTTGGAGGATTGTATATTTTGTTTTGGCATACGACTGCAAGATAATCAACGCCGTGCTTTGACTTACAATTGCAAAAGCGCAGCAAAAAAAAAAAAAAAAAAAAACTTTTCACCCGATTTACGAATTGACTAAAGTATAGGGCTATCTCTTATTACAAGATTCACACTCCTATATGCGCTTCTTGTTGAATTTCAAAACTCAGGAGTTGGCATACTAGTATGTTTTATTCGTATTTAGCAACTCAAAGGTGTTCAGGACCCGTTTTCTTCGCTGATTCGAGTTTATAATTTGTAATTTGAGTTGAGATATAGTTTTGTGTAAGAACTTTTTACTGTAACAAAAAAATTAAATGTGACTGTTTCTGAGAGCTTTTCACTGTAGTAAAACTTAAATTCTAAACTCGAATCGACGAAATGAACAGGACATGAGAATTCGTGCTGATTCGTAATTTAACACATATAAACTGAGAATAGTTCTAAATCTGTAAACCAAATAAAAAATACATACACATGTAAATTGAGAATAGTTCTAAATCCGTAAATCAAACATCCATCTTCTAACGCAAAACCCATCTCTAGGTATGTCTAGGTATGTCACATACAACTCTAGTTAGCAAAATCACAACCTTTTTGCAGTTCCTACATAAAAAACCACGTGCATGTTCTTTTGTCTAAAAAATTTAAAAAAAGACAACTCAAATTTCAACTTTATTCAAGTTGATATTCTTTTAAGTTTCAAATTTATTCAACTTTACTCAACTTTATTTAAATTACAACTTCAACTCAAATTATAATTCAAATTTAACTAAAAAACTACTCAAGTTACAGAACAACCCAACATTTTGTCAGATTTTATTTGCCCAAGTTCTTTATTAGCTGGCTGGCCTTCAATGATTTTTGTCTTGTTATGCCAATTGATCCACTATTAAAATTGTTTCCCGCTTTGTTTAGTTGCCATGAAATTGGTAAAACACACAAACCCGTTTCAGAAGCATACCTAGAGATGATGATATATCATGTACAACAAAAAGATGATGATCATCATCATCATGTCCTTTACGTAACAACCTTTGTTCAAGGCTTAGAAACCGCCATATTTCGTTTTCATACAAAATGCAAAAAGGTACGTAAAAGAAGTAGAAAAAAAACCCCTCTATTAAAGCCCTTCACTCCTCGGTCTCCATCGCAACACCCTTCTCTTCATACCTCACTTCCACCAAGAACCTTATGAGAACCTAACAACAGAAATGAACATTTCAAATTAGTCAACAAAAAATCATCGATTTGACTGGGGTAAACTGTTCAGAACAATTTACCAGTACCTGTTTTGGGTCATATACAGCATATTCATTATACTCGAGAGGACTATCTTTGTGTTCTGATGGGATCAAACGACCACAAGGAACTTTGATGTCTCCTTCCCAAGTTTGGTGCTCAGATTCATCAGTTTTCTTCCTGCCTAAACCCTTTACTCCCATTTTGTTCTCTTCCAAAGACTTGGTATCCTGTTATAATGTCCAAACATTGCGAGAAAAGTCGGCAATCTTTCCTCGTATTTTGTTGAGACGATAAAGTTTGAGATTTTACCTCTGGTGCGCTCTTCATCTCTATAATGTCGTTTCCTAGAGAAGCCACAGCCAAAACTAAGAATCCATCTGGCCTGTCCGCTGCAGTGAATCCATATCTAGCCGCTTCTGCGGCCGCGTCAGAACATACAATGGCCCTCCCAAACTGGGAATTTTGTGTTCATTATCAGTATAACAAGGCCATTAGAAATTTTCATCATTGTAACTTATAAAATAAGTAAGCTATATGAAAACACAAGCAACTATACCTACCAACTTGTCAAAACTAATGTTAGTGTGTGTTAGTTTTTCTTTCCTTGTCCTTTTCTCGTCTCTTTTTTAAGAAATCGACAGTTGGTAAAGGAAATACCATGTATCCCGGAACAGGGAGAGAGCAAACTGATGGCAAGAACCCTCTATGCAGATGCCTCAACATGTTTGAGCTTCTTGAGCCTGCAGAATATAGAACTCACAGAATTACTAATAAAGAACTTCTTAATCCAAAAGCTATTAGACACGCTTAAACGAGCATCTTACCACACCATAAGAGCATTTTGTTTGGTAGTTTCTTTATTTCTTCAAAAGATGGACAAGCCTTGGGTTGGACGACGAATATGTTATCTACAGAAATCCCATATTCCTGGCCAAGCATAAGAGGATTTAGAAACAGTTTTACTGTTTATTGATTTGGCTGCAAAAACTCTCATAAATGTTTCGTCTCACTTACAATATCGCCAACCTTAAAAGGTTCATAGGTCTTCTCCAGGTAATTCAAGATCATCTTGTAGTCATCAGAGTTCGTCTCCAGTGCTGAGATTGAGCAGTCTAGTTTATTATATCTGTCAGATAAAGGGTCATCAAGGGTAGAGCCACTCATATCCCCTATAAGGCTCGAAGCCACAGTTATGTCTCGAACAGTTTCAAACGCGGATGCACCCTACATGGTAAAGACAACTGGTATAAGCATCAAAACAAGTGGACAAGTACAAAATATTGTACGTAGAGCAAAAGGAGCAAAAGAAACTCGGTCTTGCTGACATGATCTGCAAGTTCCTGAAAGTCCCTAAAAATGAAAGGCCTTGTGGAGGGCATCAAAGTAAACCATCTTTGGCTAAAATCAGACCAAACTGCCTCAGCTTTTCTCCCAGACTCTTTCATTGACTTCACAGTTTCGACAAACTTCAGGAGTACTTCCTCACCTGAAGGAGAGATTTCGTTTTGGAATCATTCTGTGAAGAGAGCAAAAAATGAATAAAAAATGAGAAAAGACGGGGAGATTTCTCACATCTCTTCAAGTGGACATTAGAAGCCACCCCTATTGGTAGGTCGGGTGAGTCCAACCCCATCTCCATCAAAGCATATCTAGAAAAATGCGCGAGTTTAGATTCTCCAAGTGAAATGAAAGGGTAAAAAATTGTAAATGAGGGTGTCGTTGTAATGTATTTTCTTCTAAGAACAAACCTGCATGTTCCAATACAATTATCATAAAGCTAATACAATATAGCCCGAAATAATTCATACCTGTAAATTTCCTGACTGCACAAGACCTTCATGAAATTTGCAACAAGGGGTTCAAGCTTGCAATGTGCAACTGCAACTCCCAGCTGCCGAAGACCGAGAGCCCCATGTCTTACTTCCACTTCATCAGCCTAATTCAAATGTAAGAGATCCACTTCACTTTCATCCACTTCACTTTCAAAAGAGCCAGATTTGCAAGAAATCCCCCATAATTAAAAGGAAAAATGGCCAAGTTTTCTACCATGTCTATGGGATAAAACTTTAATGGCTTCTTCTGGATCTTCTTTTCTCTCTCCCATGGTTCAAATTCATTGCCTGTTACTTCCTCAAAAAGCCTCACAAATTCCTTCACAGCATTGTCCTCATCCTCCCATTCTTCAAGCCTTTCCTCGGCATTTGGATCATCACCAACTTTGCCCTTCTTGTAATACAGATGGAGGGGCCTTTCGGGCACCGTGATCAGTTGCATAATACAGTAACTGCAAGAATTCAATCTGAAGTCAACAAGAAAATACTAGACCAACTCCGAACAGTTATAGAACTCGATATGTATACATATGGGGTTGTGTGTATATATTACTGATTCATTCCTCTCCCAAGATCACAAAGGGAAAAGGCACAGTTGAACAATAAGCCATCTTTCTCAAAGATTTTCCCTCCTTGCTCCTGCAAATTGGTGTCCTTGTAGACTCCTCTCTTCACATAAAGCTTGAGCTGTGCACAGAAAAGCAAATGCGATGAATGAATTAGAAGAAATAACTTTCTAATACCATGTTGTTTACGCCTCTTAAGAGTGAGATTCATACTTCAGCTGATAATGACTCAAGTGCTTCTTCACTTGGATTCAGTTTGTCACATGGAATCCCTTTTCCATCCACAGAAAGATCAGACGCTATATCATAAGCTTCGAGAGGCTGAGGTTCTTGTTTCTCAATGCTGTCTAATAACCACTTTTCTCTCACTACCGGTATGCCTCTATCCCTGCACCAAAAAGGATTGCATTCTCATGGAATATCATATCTTGGATTGGAAGTTTAACATTTTCAAAACCGATCGGGTCATTTGATTGAAATGACTAAAAGGGCAAAGAAAACATTTCACGACCCCGAAAACAGCTCAAGGTAGAAGGAAGACATGTTTGCAATATTATCAAAAGCTCCCTTGCAAAAAGACATGACAGCAATAAAATGATTTCACAAATGTTTAAAATAATCAAGCCAGGCAAAACTAATTCAACTAGGAAGCTAATAAAGCTAAACTAAAGCAAAAGAGCAAAAACAAGATATGTATAGATTCAATAATAGAGATAAATTGTCCTAAACACTTAGTCTCAAGTCCCTCATTATCTAATATTTCATATTGCATTACTCACAATGCTTCATCAAGCTTCGACGTGCCACCTCGTTCCCGTTCAGCACTGGAAGCAATCAGACAAGTAACACCTGCAAAGATTTTCGAAAGTGCACCACTTGAAACGGATGAAAGTACAAAATAATTAACAGAATCGAAATTTATTGAAGTGAAGCAGGGTACCAATAACAGAGTTCGAAACTTTCCCTCCATGTTTCTCAATCTCTTTTTTCCAGTATTGCTAGAAGAATCATCAGGCAACAAAATGGTTACGCACTAACGGTGAAAATTTCAGTTCGGCAAGAGATTTATACACCATGAACATTGACATACATGGGTTCTAGAGAGACGGCCCATAAGAGAAATAACCATTCCTTTGAAAGGTTTATCAGTGATCTCCAAGTTCTTGTGAGGCCGGCGACTCGGGTCTTGATATTTGTTCAAGAGCTGGCACCAGAAATGCACAAAAGCTACTAACTTTTCACAAAAAGAAAAACATATCTTGGAGAAAAACTGCTCAAGTAAGGTGATTGTGGAGTCCTACATCTGAAATAGGCGTGTTTAGCACAGAATCTGGTAATTTGATGGGTTCTTCTTTCCTCGGCGGATCTCTTGTGCTGACGGTGCAAGACGACCACTCACTGTACGATCCGGTACAAGAGTAGCGTATGCCATTGTACTCTAAAGTCCCGCCACAAACCTGGCATTTGTCCAGTAGCCCATAGAAGAGCAAGTCTTGGCTGTTCAAGCAATGACCAGAGTTGAATTAACATCATCAGTTTCTGAAACCATAGTCGTCATTGTCTAAAATTCTGCTAACATTTTCAGTGCAGCGTTTCTGTGTAAGAATCAACAGTGATAGAACGTGGCCATTTTCATCATTGATTTTTCTTCAGTACTAACCACTAATGTAGTAACTAAGAGTTATGGATTATATCCATTATAGGAGTTATATTTCACTGATTTAAGAAAACAAAAATTCACTTTGAACATCACTATAAGAGTATATCAATGAATCCGATGATTCATTAGCGCCATTAGATTAAGATATGATACAATATACGGACGCAATATATCAGTAGTGTATCAGATGGTTGGCCTAATTTCCGGTGAGTTGGGTTGGTTACTCTAGTGTTTTTTTTTTAATAGCACAAACAACAACAACAAGCCTTAAATTCCAACTTAATTGGAGCCGGCGGATTTCACTTTTCCACACGGCTCTGTTTGAAATTATACTTTCTTAAAGACTTAGATCTAGAATGTCTTTCCTAACGACTTCGGTCCACGTAATTCTTGGTCTACTCCTTTCTCTCCTAGTATTAGGTATAAAAATGTCCTCCCAAGCACGGACTAGTGCTTCTAGTGGTTTACGTTGGACATGCCCGAACCACCTCAAGCGGCCTTCACACACCTTTTCTTCTATTGGTGCTACACCTACTTTACTACGAATAACTTCATTCCTTATGCGATTCACACCATATCTTCTATTGGTGCTACACCTACTTTACTACGAATAACTTCATTCCTTATACGATTCATTCTCGTATGGCCACTCATCCATCTTAACATACGCATTTCTGCCACACTCTTCTTAGATATATGTTGTCTCTTAATGGCCCAACATTCACCACCATATAACATAGCTGGGCGGATTACAATCCTATAGAACTTTCCTTTCAATTTAATTGGCATCTTGCCGTCACATAAAACTCCCGTATTATTCTTTCACTTAACCCACCCTGCCTTAATTCTATGTTGAATATCCTCTTCTATATCTCATTCGTACTGCACTATAGACCCAATGTACTTAAACTTCTTAGAAGCTCCAATCTCCACACCATCTAAAGAAATTCTATCACTCTGATTACTTGAGTTACTAAACCTACAATGCATGTATTCAGTTTTAGTCCTACTTAACTTAAATCCCTTCGTCCCGAGTGTCTGTCTCTACAGTTCTAACTTAGAGTTAGCTCCTTCCCTATGTTCATCAACTAAAACTATATTATCCACAAAAAGCATACACCAAGAAACTCTATAAATGACACTTAGTTTGATTATTTTCTTAAGTAGTTTGATTATTTTCTTATGTGCTATCATGACTACTAATATCCATCAATAATTAATATAACAATAACGTGGCTTTAAAGGTAAAATTAAGGTTGACTGGTTTTGAGCACTTTTAATTCATGGCTGAACATTTTTTATTAAAAGGTCGCCCTTTTTTTTTTTCCCAACAACTAATGGTTTATCAAATAGACAAGAAGTATTCAGTTAAAAGGTCAATTTATTTTTTTTACTGGGTTTCACAACAAATGGTTTATCACTTATAAACGAATCTATCACTAACTTAATGGTAGATTATTGATTGACAACTACCAAGATAATAAGCAACCATAAATTAATATATCTCTAATTAACTATTTTTAAAAGCAGTCATTTTCCCATTGAAAAAAACAGAGCCTAGTGGCAATACTGGGAAAATTCAAAAATTAAAAAAATATCCCTAAAAAGAATTATATTATAGGACTTAGATATATAAAAGATATAACTAACCATTTGCGCATAACAGAGCCCTCAGAGCCAGAGGAGTCAAGGCCGTTGGCCTCCAAAATTTGGCGCATTTGATCAAGAGAGAGGTGCTCTCTGATTGCTTTACAGAAGTCTTCATACTCGGCAGTTATATCCTCATGAGCAGGTTTCCCATTCTGTTGGCCATTGTCGTTTTCGGATTTCGGCTTCTTCGGAGAATGTCCTCCTTCCTGACCTTTGCTCTCTGCCTTCTGCTTCCTCGTCATCACTTTGTCCTCTTCGTGTGCATGAGATTGTGACCTCGTCTCGTGAACCTGTTACAAATTTTCAAGATAAACCTTCTCCGGAATCCGAATGCTTAACGCTCCGTTTGTTTAGAGGATTACAGTGTTTTTCTCTCGTAAAAATATCATCACCTAAGTTTTTTTTTTAATTTTTTTTTTCGCTCATTCGAGTTAAAGAGCAAACTATATTGAAAAAGTTAATTTTTTTTTGAAAAACTGTTGCAAAAAGTTAGGTTGTAATTCAAACTAACGAAACGAAAAGTGTTTAAGACTTTGTGCTTTACTTCATTATATTGTTATGATATCATGTTACTAATTTATATCTGATTTAATTGTGCCTAAATATCTATAGGGTCTTGTTAGTAAACATCATAGATTATCTCATGTCAAGAAACAAATTGTACGCGGACTTTTTATAAGCTTCAAGTATGTGAGATTATTGGTTTTCCTTATAAATTTTGATTTTATTTAGGCTTAACCCAAAGTAGTGAGATTTTGGAGACAATTGAAAGCTGTTTTTGTTATGTAAATTTTATTATGCTGACTGAACATTCGTTCGATACTTGAAAAGTTTCTTCTTGTTTATGACCATTATTGCCATGATTCCATATTTGTCCTGACCATAAAAATGAGGGAAGTGTATTTTTGTGTGCTTTTCAAGCTTTTGAGAACTCCGCAAACTTGGATAAACTTTTACTAATACTTTCAGTAGCTCTTATTTGCATAAGCTTAAAGCTAATATATAAACAAAATTAACTGAAGCTAACAAAATAGTACTGGAATTTGGTATCGTGAAACAGCTTTAAAATCCATGTTAAGTTCTAGGAAGAAAAATATAAAAGATTTCTCCAATTGGATTAAAAAAAAAAAAAATCAACCTCACATGACCTATATATTGATAATAACATAGAAACGAAACAAAGCAAACGAGAAAACAAAACCCCATTTCAGGAAAATTAGCCAGCTTGAGCTAACCTTCATCTTTCAGCACTACTTACTCCAGCTGAGAATTATCAAGAGACAAAAAAAATTCCCCAGAATTTCAGAGTACTAACAATTGGTCTAGAACTCCAAACAAAAGTGTTATATGAAGGAATATAAACCGGATAAATTCCCTTTTTACATCATCAACGAGAAACGCTCCAAAACGACACGTACATGCATTCTCTCTTGCAGGTGCATGGCCTTCCTGTCTGCCCAGAAATACGACATCTGTCTCCTGCTTCGACACGTGTCCATCTGGGTGCTTTTCCTTGCCTAGACCGTTGACAGGTGGTAAATTATAGCTAACCGAACAAATGTGTTCCACAGTTTAAAGTCTTCTGCTTCTTCCTCGTGCATGCAAACGATTCGGTGTCGTTTTGGGGCGTTGCGCTAAACATATATTCCAATGACGCATTTATTGGATTCCGAGTGTTTTTTGTACTATTGTCGATATATATATGTGTCTATGCAAGGTGGCAATAATTGACGGTTGTTTTAATGATTATCAGCTTTGTGGATGCATGGCTTTATTTGTTGGGCATGTGTTAATTATATGGAGCTTTTCATCTCTCTCCATCTCTTTTGGTACTGCCTTTATCCTTTTCCTTAACACTCTTTTCCCTTGCAAATTAAATCATATTGTGTGTGTGTGTGTGTGTTTTTTATTTATTTATTTATTTGGCTCAAGCAATCATCTTGTTGGATATAGTGGGGTGTAATCATTCAAGTTTTAATTTGCAGTTTTTTTAATTTATTTATTTTTTTTAAAAGGCTAGTGTACGTGTTGTGCACTAATTAAATTAATATATATCAGAATGAATTCGTTTATGTAGAATTAATTAAACCCATCCAGTGCCTGAACTTTCGGGCCGCGGGCATGCCCGATGCCCGAAAATTTTTGGGCACAGTGGGTAGGCGTCATTTGCCTCCCGTCTAAATTTTTTGACCGGACACGGGTTAAGACAGCCCAAAAAAAATCCATTCTGGCTGCCCGCCGCCAGCGGAGAAGTCGATCTCGCCGCCCGCCGAATTTTTTTTTGAATTTTTCTGTGTAACCCGAATTTTACCTGAATTTTGATGACCGTTAGCCCGAATATCTACCCGAATTTTAAACCCTAACGGCTCTTTTGCCCGACCCGACCGCCGCCTGAATTTTCAAACCCCAACAGCTATTTTTAAGACCGCTGTCTGATTTTTGTCCGAACCCAACCGAAGGCCCGAATTTCACATAGCCATTAGAACTGAATTTTTGGCGGAAAATTTTTTTTTTCAAGCCAAAAAATTTCCTATAAATACCCCCCTCTCCCAACCATTTTTCTCACCCCAAAACTCTCATTCTCTCTTAATTTCTCTCAATCTCTCTCAAATCTCTCTTAATCTCTCTCAAATCTCTCTTAATCTCGCTTAAATCTCTCTCGATCTCTCTTAATCTCTCTCAAAGCGCTCTCAATCTCTCTTATTTTTCATAATGGCTTCTTCTGTCCCATTGATGCCCAGTTCAGCATTGAAGAATGGAAATTTCCTAATGTTTTTCAAATGCAGGAATCGCAAACTACAGAAAGAGTTGCTGAGGAAACTGCAAATTCGAGCCCTGGTGGACGTACTAGAGGTCGTGGACGTAATGGTGGTGGGCGTGGAGGAGAGGCAAGCGAAAGTGTTAGTGCAAGTGTTGCAAGTTCGAAGAAGAAATGCAAGCGCACCTCAGCAGTTTGGGACCACTTCAACACATTCGAGGTGATCGACAATAATGGTAACATTAAATACATAGCTCAATGTAAATATTGTGGTGATAAATTACAAGGTAACACTATTTACAGCACTACACACTTGAGAAGATACTCTGAAAAGTGTCTTCAAAAGCAAGGAGGCGGACCCGATCTCCGCCAAACACAATTATCGTTTGACTGTCAAACCGGCGGTCTAACCACTTGAAAATACGATCCACAAGTCGATCGTATGGAAATGACACGCTTAGTAGCCATATTAGATCAACCACTTAGTTTTACTGAACAAAGGAATTGGCAGCGTTATATTAAAATTGTACATAATCCTAATGCACAATTTTTTTCAAGAACTACTCTTAGGAAAGATGCATTAAAATTATATAAACAAGAAAAGGAAGCATTAATCAACCTTTACACTCTACTAGTGGTTGCGTTGCGTTAACGGTGGATATTTGGTCCGCCGTTGCCTACAAAGATTATTTAGCTGTAACCGGACATTATTATAAAGGTTTTGATTTAGATAAGAGAATATTATGTTTTAAATGTGTTATAGGATCACATACTGTCAATTTAATATATAACACGATTTTATCTATCATTGATGAATATAGTTTAAGGGATAGAGTAATGGCCATAACATTAGATAATGCAACTGCAAATACTAAAGCAATAGAACTTTTTGAAAATGATTTATGTTTATTCGGTAATAATGATATATTTCACCAACGTTGTGCATATCATATAATTAATTTAATAGTAAAATCCGGTTTAAAATCAATGTCAGGTCATATTAAAAGAATTAGAGATAACATTGCTTGGATTCAAGGTAGTAATCAAAGAATACAAGATTGGTTTAGATTTCTACAAGCATGTAATCAAAATCATAGAGCATTAGCCTTAGATATGCCTATAAGATGGAACTCTACTTATATAATGCTTGAACAATGCATCCCCTATAAAGATGCTATAACAAATTATGTTAGTGCAAAATTATGAGCAGGATTTATAGATGAAACTGATTGGCAAATTGCCGAACTCTTATTTAACTTTTTAGGTAGATTTCACGAAGTTACTTTAATGCTTAGTGGAACTTATTACCCAACGTCACCATTAGCGTTAGGAGAACTTTTAAGAATGTTTATGTTGTTTAGTAAATTTAGGACACACAAGGTTTTAGGAGCTCCTATCGCCTCTATGGAAAAGAAGTTTAAAAAATATTGGTCTAAATTACCAATGTTGTATGGTTTCGGTGTTATTTTTGACCCTAGATTAAAATTAGATGGTTTAAAAACTGGATTAGATAACTTATGTGACTTTTTAGCTATCGACACTACTGACAAATTTCCTATTATAAAAGGAAAAACTATTTTCTCTATAGCTCTTATGAAAGTAGGTTTAGAAATACACCTCGTGTAGAAGAACCGTAACAACGAGACGACAATCCGTATTCATTCTTGAATGTTTTCGGGTTGTCTAAGAAGAAGAAGAAGACGGCGGCGATGACTCAAGGTCAAGAAGAATATGGGAGTGGATCTTCATCAAGAGGTGGCAGCAACATCGACGGCTTCAACGAGTTAATAACGTACCTGAGTGAGGGCTTAATTGTAGACAATAGTGAAATATTTGATTTGGTTCAGTGGTGGAGAGCACGAGCATTAACTTGGCCGATCCTAACACGACTGACAATGGATATTTTTTTGATCCCAGTCTCCACTGTTGCAGCCGAACAAGCATTCAGTACAATCGGCCGAATACTTGAAGAACGGAGAAACGCATTGCAACAGGATATTGTTGAAGCTTTGGTGTGCATCAAGGATTGGGATCGTTCCGACCAACGCTTACACGATACAATCTCACCGGCAAGCCAAGAATATATCGACGAATTTAATAGATTAGCTTTAAATTTTCAAGACGATCCTTCTGCTTCAAATTAAATTTTATTATTGTAATTTGTAAATATTTATTTACTTTGTATAGTCTTATTGTAATCTTGTATGGGCTTTGTAAGTTCGTCAAATTTGTAATTCCTCCTACAATGATTGCACTCTTTTTTCCTTACTAAGTTTTTATCCTAATTGGATTTTTCTTGGTAAGATTTTTAACGAGGCAATCATGAATTACAAATTTAAAAATCAATAAAGAAATAATTTTTTTTATATAGTTCATGTGGTCATTTCAAATTTCAAATTGTAATATATATAATATATATATCTATAATAATATATAAATATATAATATAAAAAATATTTAAAAATTCAGTTTTCGGTCGGGTTCGGGCAGGCCGATCGGGCACGGGTAGCCAAATGCTGCCTGATGCCCGTCCAAGGAGAAAATCGGGTCGGGTCGGGCAGCCTGAAAATTTGGACAGTTCGGGCTCGGTCATCGGGTAAAAATTCGGACTTTTCGGTGGTCACAGGCGGCCCGTCCAAAGTTTCAGCACTAAACCCATCTAGTAGCCGAAGCCTTTTAGACACTCTAGGTTTCTGAAATCTATAGAATATTTAAGGAGGATCTAAGACCCCATTTATTTCACCGATTCGAGTTTAAAATTCAAATTTTATTATAGTAAAAAGCACTAAAAAACAGTCACATATAACTTTTTTGTTACAGTAAAAAATTCTCACATGAAGTCACATATCAACTCAAATTAAAAACTCGAATCAACAAATTAAAATGGCCCTAAGACTCTGATTCAACGGAGAATATTGACTCATCGGAAGGAGACTTGGAAGGATTTGTATGACAAATTGTTGAGACTTATAGAAGCGAAGTGCACTGCTACATAATGACAAAATTCTTATTTTTATTTTTAATTGTAAAAAAAGAAAAATAAAAATTATGACTTTTCAATAAATATTTAAAATTAAAAGTTGAATTGGAGTCTGTTTAAATAATAATACGTTATATTAATAGAATCTATATATCAAATACTAACATCTAAACCGACAATACTACTCCAACGATTGGACACTACTGGCGGACCTGGACCTGGCAGATTCAATGGGCTGAGGATAGACGTTTGACACGCCTTTTGGAGGATGAAGGGATGAGAATACCAGACTTTGGCGGAGCAAAGGGCAAGACTTGGATATTTTCGGTAAAGTATTTTTTTTTTGTTTTGTTTTTAATTTAAATTTTTTTTTTACGGTTGATTTACTTTAGACAGAGGACTCAAATTCAATGTATACGTATTGCAAAAGGTAGCTTTAATTTTGGGAAATAGTAGAAAATAGGTCAATATGAAAAGTATATATAAGTTAATTTTTAGTTATAAAAATTAATATGTCATAATTTGTTAAGTTATGATTAATAATCAGATAAATTATAGATAAATTTATCAAGTATGGTTTATAA